TACGCCGGTTGTTGAACAACATCGTTATGGGGAAATGCAAGTCTGCGTCCAAATGGTTGAAGATAAGGAGGAAGGACAATCAATACTGTATATAGTCAATGTGAGGTAAAGTGTGTCGCCAAGGTAACCGGTTAAAACTCCAAGTGGAGATGAGGTCTTAAAATGTATGGAAAGGGTCTTAAAAAAGGTCTTAAAATGTCTTACATTTGACTTCAGGATTCCTGCATAGACCCTGCTGTACCTAGAAGGTTGTTTTTGTTTTGTTTGCAGGATTACGGACAAACTATGGGCTGATTTTCATTAAACTTGGTCAAAGAGTTTAGAATAGAGCTGCAACTTATCATTAATTCATTATAGATAAAACTGCTGATTGTCTAAAAAGAATTCCTTTATTCCTTCCTTCAGTCAGAAAATATGAAAACATACACATCCCAGTTTCTGAAATCTTTTCTTGCTAAATGTGTTTTGTCAGTTTAAAATCCAAAGATATTGACTCAGATGTAATATAACATTTAAAAAAGCGTCAAATCTCCATATTTGAAAGGCTGAAAACTGCATTTTAAGGCATTTTGCATGAAAAAAGTTGGTCAGAATCAGGTTTATTGTCAAGTAGCTTGTCACATACAAGGAATTTGCTTTGGTATATTTTTGCATATATTAACACAGAAATAGATGTGTACAATAAACATAAAAACACCAAAAAAGTTTAATGAAAATATGACACACTTCTGTAAAAGAAACATCTGCAGTATATTTGAAGTTTAAAATAGGACTGTTTCAGAAGTGATGGTTTTGTGCAGAAATGTGCACAATTGTCAAAGACATAGTAACGGAGCGTCCACACAGCGGCGTGCGTTGACGCTTGGAGGTGAGCGTATCTGAAGCTTGGGGATTTTTTGCGAGCAACGCGACCAACAACCAATCACATGAATCTCCCGCCCCCGACACACAAAGCAATAGCAATGTTAAAACGAAGTAAGCTGGATATAAAATCCCCAAACAGGCGAAAACCTACCAGTTTCACCCACTGTCTCTGCCTCCTCCCTCCATGCCTCGCTCCTCCGGTTTGTATCCCGGTAGATGAACAGAGACTGATCAAACAGCACCGGGTGATTCACTACCGCTATAATGAATACCTCCATTTTTTGGAATATGAGGAAATGACCTGCGTAGTCTTTCCCAGCATACACGCGGTTTGATTGGCTAGCGCTTGTACTGGCAGATTTGCATAAACGGGATTTCATTGGCTGACGCTTCTGCCGAGGCGCCAAAAGTTGAACATTGCTCAACTTTTGAAGCGAGCAACGCTCCACGTCGCTTCCCAAAATGCAGTTCGGCTAAAAGTGACGTCACCCCATTCAAAGTGAACGGGCAGAAGCGTTGGAAGCTTCAAACGCACGCCGCCGTGTGGACGGGCCGTAACAGATGGAAGATATCTGTCAATTGATCGGATTAGATTGGTTTCATCATTGCAGCTCTATGAAGCATTGGCCACGGAAAAACACATTCAAAAGAGTTTAACGGGACGAATACACGCATAATTAAAAATGCATTGAGAGTTAGGGCATGGTCTTGGTTGAGGTTTAAATTCTCCAAAAGCACTTCTAGTTTTAAGGTTTGTTTTATTATTCGTTCGTTGTTGTCTTCAAAGTTTAAGCATGTAAGAAATCCCAGTTCATTTAAAAAGACTGTTAAGCTACGTGTTGATTAACAATCCCTCTGCAGTCGTTAGACAGCCAGTATACTCGGTGTGATAATGATAAACTTCTTGTATATTTCACTGCAGCCTTACCCTCAGTGCTCTAACCTGCTTTCAGATGCCAGTGTTGTTTTACCATAATTAGGTAAGTTTGTTTAGCTGAACTAATTATCCGCTCTGAAGGGCTGGCTCTGCTCTGCTCTGAATGTGGCTCTTTAAAGTGTTGATTTGTCTTTTGTGAGGGTCTGACCTGCAGGCTGCCGGCCCCCGGGGGTCCGACCTGAGCAGGGTGTGGCTGCTGATTGGAGACACTGACTGCAGGTCGTGGTTGTGCTTAACTTTTCAGACAGCTTTCAAATTATTCTGACCGCAGGGCAGGAGTTTTAGCCCCCCGCCCTGCAGAAACAGAAGCGGTTTCTGACCTCCTCCCTCGTCATATAGCGGAGCAGCGAGCAGTGTTACATTAAAAAATACATTAAAGCTCCCATGTCATGGCCATTTCCACTGATCATAATTCCATTGTTGAGGTCCACTAGAATAGATTCACATTGTTCAATGTTCCAAACCCACATTGGTTTCTCACAGCATCTCTGTATAGCATGTGTATTCACTCTCTGTCCTAAACGGCTTGTTGGAGCTCCTGCCCCCCCCCCCCCCCCCCCCCTCCCTGTGAGTGTGCTCTGATTGGTCAGCTCGCCCACTCTGTTCTGATGAGTCCACCACCGTTACAGCGGAACATCAGTGATTATGTGTTACAATGGCGTTTGTTAGCAACCAGAAAATGACACCAGTAACGACAAACAGATGAGAATGCTGCGTGGGGTCTGGGGGCCGTGTTGGCGGGACGTTGCGGGGCTCGCTGCTGCGAGGAGCGGACAACGTAAGCTCTACTACTGGTGTCGTTTCCTGGTTGCTGCGTGGGGTCTGCGAGACATCACGAAACTCAGCCTGAACTCAGCCTGAGTACCATGGATGTGGGAAGGGGGGGTGCTGAGGGGGCTGCAGCACCCCCATCTGCGAGGCTCCACTGGCACCCGCATCCCCAAACGTGGCGCACCTACAGTGTAAGCGCGCCACAGTTTCGCCGCTGAGAGAGTGTGTGTGTGAGGAGCTCCACGGATTGGTTACGTCACTTGGTTCCCGGAAGAATAAAATGGAAAAAGAGAAATGTCCAACGAGGCGTTCTGGGGCAGCAGACAGGTCTTCTCTGTGTTAGAGTTGTACTCGCTACAGGGTGTACTTTGAGGGTTTTGACTCTGCAGACCGGTTACATGCAGAACAACCTTCATAACACAAGGGGACGGGTGAGAACCGGAAAAGCATGCCATGATTCTCACTGGTATCATTGTCCATGTTTTACTGTATTTTTTCTGTTTTGCTTTTATTTTACATTTTATTTTTTAAATTGTTTTATTTTATCCTATTTTCTTGTCAGCTTTAATTCAAGGGAATTTCAGTAGGATCACTTTAGATATTTTATCTTGTTCTGTATTTATTTGAATATTGTTGTTATGTTTTCTGTAAAGCAGACACAGTTTATTATTGTCGACAACAAAGTTATTTATTTTTCTGTCCATAGATTATATTTAGTATGATAACATGTGTTCTGATTGGTCTAAAGCAGGGGTCTCAAACTCAAGGCCCGGGGGCCAAATCCGGCCCGCGACTTCATTTCATGTGGCCCCGCAAGAGCTTGCAAAGAATATAATACGTTTATTATACGGTTACATGCCACTTTACAGAAGCAGGTTGCCCATAAACTACTTGTCCCACAATGCATCTCGTTTTGTGACATGCGCACTGAAGAGACCTGGACTTCTGCTTTCAGACGTAGTTAATTACTAAGTTATTATCCTATCCGATAATAATCCAATTCAGAGGCAATAATGTAATACATTATTTTAAATATATATTATATATTTATATCGTTACAACCGGCCCTTTGAGTGCAACCTTTATGCGAATGTGGCCCGTGATGAAATTGAGTTTGACACCCCTGGTCTAAAGCTTTGAAGTGTGGTACTGACATACTTTAACTAACAGAAAAACCTCAGTTCAGCTTTAACATTCAAAGTCAACATTTTTGAAAAACCTAAAACAATTTGGAAGCATTTTTTGGCAATAATGAAACCTGGTTGTACATGATATGCATCGTGAACACTTGACCACTAATGCACTCCTGTTAAACGTCCTGCATGTGACGTATTTGTTTTACACTGCATATGCATGCACACATTTTGATACGTGTTGCATTTTCATAAATTACAAACGCTCAACGGTGCTCCTTTTTGTTTCTGAGATACAGCCATATTCTAATCGTACTATATTTTCGTCTTTGGGCACAATGTTTTTCCTTAAAATATAATAAAACACATAAATAACATAAGTCCAATGTCCCCACACACTAAACAAACTATGAGAAGAAAAACGTCATTTCAGCCAAATATTTTGACTGATTTTGACTTTTCCAATTTTAGCTTGCATAGTTTTCAGTTCAAAAATAAGGTTCTGCTAGATGTAGACACTTCAAAATAGTTGTAAATTAGGGCATTCCCATGCACGATCCACAAAGGTCTAAATGCAGCTTCCCAGTTAAACTATAGAAGAAGAAAAATGTCTGAAGCCCGTTCCACTTCATGAAGTCATTCCCACATTTCTACAGAGCCCCATCACACTATCTAGAATCAATGCATGTTTCCAAAACAGATCTACATCAGTCATCTCTGATAGATACAAGCAATCTACAGGAGTCACATTGTTGTTCTCTGGGGGGGGGGGCTGCATGAGGATTGCTTAGGGGGTGCAGAGGAGCTTTTCTTATGCTAATGCTGCTGCAGGTTAACTCTCACAGAACACAGACTGCACCTCTCACTCTGCAGCCTGCTGCCGGCCTCATGGATTACTTTGATCCAACTCCATTGACTTCTATCCATTTGGGAATACATTTTTACAAATCGTGCGCCTATGTGGACAAAACAAAGCATGCACATAACATTGGTTTGCGTTAAATACGATAGAATTGAAGCAAAGGCAGTGCAATTAAGATAGAAATCCTCCAAAGTTGTAGTTTTTGCTGCTTTTTCTCGATTGCCATAGAGTCCACTGTTAGGGAAAGTGAGGAAAATGAATGCGTATTATTGCAGCTATCCTTTTAGCACAATAGTAACCCTCTGCTCAGCTAAAACCTTGAAGGAGCTTCAAAGGTGTCGTAAGGAGACGCTGCTTCTCCTGCAGAAAGGGTGTGGTCTCAGGTGTTGGACAGGTAGAGCCCTCCCCCCTCTCTCCTCCCGGTATATATGACCTCCCAGAAGATTCCTATAGAAGCTCCTGCCTGTCCACTTTGCATCCGTCGTCCACATCGCTCCTTCAGAGTGACGAAAAGAGATTTGTGGAATCCTGGAGCCAGTGGAGCAAACAGCAGCAGCTCTGCTCAACCTCAGCGCCAACATGTTGTACCTGGAGACGGGCTCCACCACGGCCTACAGTGAGGTAAGGCTTCCTGTAGATGGAGCTCCATGGGACAGTGAAACACCACAGAACAGTTGAAGGCCTTGTGGGGCCTAAAGTTAATGTCAGTCCTCTAAATAATCAGAAATGACTTGACACTGGATGCTTTTGGGGTAACCAACGCATTTCATTTTGAATTTGTCATAGATTTTGCTCATTTAAAGCGAGTGACGACTACTAATGAAAGACTAGAAAACGCGGGGAACATGGTTTTGCATTTGTGTGTGAGTGTGTGTGTTTGCGTGCACATCTGTGTGTGAGCAGGGGAATGTAAACACCTGGAGGTTTTCTTTTTTCTCCTGTGAAATGGCTGCTGTCTGGCTTTGCTGTGATTTGAAGAGTAGGAGCGTTGCATCTGAACATTTTCCAAAAGGCGTTGGAGGGTTTTCATTTTCTCCGTGCCGTAAAGTTTGAGCTCCTTTCATTGGAAACTATTAAAATATAAAGAATGCCAAAAGTAAATGAAAGAACGCTCCTTATTGTGAAGTCATTAGAAACTTTTTATGATAACATTTTGTTGGATTAAGATGGGAGTTTTCCTTTGCTCTTAGCGCCTCTCTTTAAGACGCCTGAAGTTTACATTAAACTCTTTTGTTCTTTGAAGACGAAACAAATCGCAAATGACGTTTTTAATTCATCAAATTGAGGAATGTTTCTCAGTTTGAGAAGAAAAATCTGATTCCCATTTTTCACTCTGAAAGTGCAAGCGTCGTGATTGATGGCTCTGTGTTTGCACGGTAAACACCTGGAGGAGGTTTAACAGTGAATTCAATGATAAGAAGTTTGTACAGAAATTACTTTCAGATTATTTTTTCTCAATCAGAAGACATGACATTATTGTGATTTTGGGACGTTTGTCTTTTCATCAGTTTAACCATCATTTTGCCCTAGCAACACAGAAAGAATTGGGCCTTTCAGCTTCACAGTATTTGTCTTAAAGTGTGAAAAACATTGCTTTAGTTTCAGGATTTTCTGTATTTGCACTGAGACTTTAGGCGTCTTTTCTGTAGTGACTTCTTGTGTCTCGCTCCTTGTGTTTTTCACCAACCCTGCATCCACACAGCGGCGCGCTGATGGATCCTCAGATTGCAGGTTGCAGATAGCAGGTGTGTCAGGTCACTGTCTTTTAAGTTGTTGAGCAGGGGGTCTTTAAGTGGTGTCCGGCTCAGGGTGTGTGTGAGGGGGGTGTCGGGTTCCCCCAGCCTGCTAGGAGCCGCTGCCAGGCGCTGCTGTTTAGTCCAGCATCATAATTGCTTTAATGGTGTGTTGATGTAGATACAATCACCTACTCTGCCCACCCCAGCAGGTATAAAAGGTGTAGATAGACCCCCACCCCAGCCCCCACCTCACTTCACCTCACCCCCCCCACCCTGTTGATCCTTTAATGCCTCCCTCCCCTGTGGTCACTCATCACGGTCCCCTCGATGCTCTCATGCTAAGGGTCACCAGAGAGTGGGAGTTATTCCCCCTCAGGCCGGGTCTGCTCTGGTTCCTGTCGTCTGTTTTATCACCGAACAGCAGCACTAATGCCCTCTGTGTCTCCTTAAAGGCTTCGGAACATTTTGAGTTTTTGCGCTATTTTGCTTTCATAACAAGACTTTTTTTAGCCTGGTCAAAACAAAACATCCAAAATACATATTAAGATGTTTATTTCACTGTGTGTCTGTAGATTTCTCCCTATAAGTAATAACGCCTTATATGCTTTTCTAAACATAGCTTTTAAGAAAACTTGTAATGCTAAATATTATTGTCTTAATGTAATGTATGAACTGGCGAGGTTTCATGGTGATATCTATTGATTTTTGACGCTATTCACCTGTAGTGTACAAAATGGATGGATTTTACAAAACATAGCAAGGCTGGTTTCTCAAATTGTGTTTTTTCTACTACTCTGCTGTTTAGTTTAATTCCTATCTATATTCTGAAGGTTATTCAGAGGGCTTTGTTCACACGTCATCAACAGCCTGATTTATAGAGCATCTTATTCATGACTGACTGTTGACAGTACCTTCTGATTTATGGAGTGATACGAAGAGATCTCCAAAAACCTTTGACTCTAATATGTGAAAAAAAACTGACTTTTGGCTTCATCGGATATTCAAATGTCTGTTATGTAACGCAACCTTTTCAAATGTACAATTAACATGTATGCAACTGTGTGACTTTCATAGCGTTGTTTAAGAGTCTTATGAGAAGTGGAACAGGATTTTATTGGCTTGACATTCTGCCTGCAGTGTTGACAGAGATGACTTTATAGAGAGCTGCAGGATGATTTTTTTGTGTCGCCCAACCCTGGAGATAGCTCACGGCTCATTGGGATTTTTCCATTGGATTGTAGTGGAAAATAAGCTCTGTGGCGAACAACACATTATGACACTGACAAGACAATCTTCTCAAATTACGCACATGCAAAAACTAATGTAAGAATTGAAACGAACAACAGTACGGTTGCACAACTTCACGTCACCACGACTCAACTAAAGGTGGTGCAGAAATGCTGACTCTTTTCTGCACCATCATGATCTGAAGCCTTTCAACACGGTTGTTCTTAATAATCAAACCATTGTTTGGACAGTATTTTAATTTGTTTAACAAGCCTAAATGACACTCTTAAGGTTTCTACAAAGAAATACTTATCCTGACAACATATTAGGTTCTTAATGAGGTAGTTTTCTTTTGTGGGTAATGCAAAAATAAATGTAAGACTCCGGGCTAACGTTAAGTTGCATTAATGCAAATTCTGGATTTGAAAGCCATAAGATTATTAAGCAAATTACTTAAAGCAATAGTGTTGATCATTAGGAAACACTTTAGTAATATTTGCCTCCTTGGGGCATTTATCTTGCATTACCTACACCACAAGAAATACCTTAAATGTGACACCATGTCATTACCCTTTAAGCTAGTGCTGCATTGTGTGTTTGAATAATCTGATATGTGTAGGAGATATGTCAGATCGTAATCAACAGACTTTTATTCTGAAGTCTCCTCTCCCTGCCGACCCCAGCACTTATCTCAGACAAAGAAGAGCTGAAAAACAGACTGCACCACCTTTTAAAAGCGTTATTAAAGGCTGTTGAGGATGTCAAGCTGCTGATTTACCGTGTTCCCAAAGGCCTCGACACACACGCTGTAAACACAAGGAATTTTTAGGAGCAGTTGAGGTGGTTATTAGATGGTTTTCTGTATTATAGTGGAATAAGATCTGATGAAAGGTCTTTTTAAAGCTTGATAGCCCAACTTCCACTCGATTAAACATTAAAACACGATGAGCTCAATTATCCTTTAATTCATTCAGCCCAGCAGCAGCACTCTCCAGAGCCCTGTAGTTAATGGGAAGTATTCAATGTCAGGCTTTTCTTCAGAATAATAATTTGACTTTGATAATTGGTGGCTGTCACTCGCTGCTGCTGCACAGTTCAAAAGAAATCACTGATATCATGAAGGTGACTTACAGGAAAACACCGCCCAGCAGGAAATAAGTCACCCTTTAGTTCACATGAAGAACACCAACTATTCACCTTCTTTTCATTCACATAGGATAAAAGAACATCATTTGAATTATTGAGTCAATTATTCTTATTTTTTGTCACTTCGGTTTGAAGCATATATTTAGTTCTCCTCTGAGATGGATAATCGTACATTACATTACATTACATGTTACTTGTTAGACGCTTTTATCCAAAGCGACTTCCATACTCAATACTGTGGACAATCCCCACAGGAGCACTTTGGGGTGAAGTGTCCCAGCGACACAACGACATGCTGACTGCAGTGGGGTTTGAACCTGTGCTCCCCTGATCCCAACGCACAACCCACTGTGCCACACGCCTCCCTCGTACACTTATTTGTATACCACTGATAGATTTAGATCTATCTTTTAAGTGTTTTTTTTGCCTTAATCATGTACTGTATATACTGTACAGCTTTTAACTGGTCTTATTCTGCTAAGTAATGTCTTCAGTTGTAATGCTTGTGTTGTCCTGTTAAGATGGAGTATAAAGTTGAAGGAAATAATAGTGCAATTACCTGAACTACCTTGTTAATTATATTACTTGAGTAAATTAACTTAGTTACTTTCCACCACTGCTCTAAGCCCTTTGAGTTTAAACCTTTATATGTGTGTAATTAGCCCATTGTAAGGGAGTGTGTGAGGAAGGCTGGAGGGTCTACTCCAGTGTGTGTGTGTGTGTGTGTCCCACTTGTCCTTTAACACCTGCATCCCCAGTATAACTCTCCAGGCAGCTCCTATATTCCTAGTTTTTTTTAGTGGTGGTGAAGCAGCCTCGCGCCGCACACACACACACACACACACACACACACACACACACACACACACACACACACACACAAACACACACACACACACACACACAAACACACACACACACACACACACACACACACACCTTGACCCCCCTCCTCACACAGCTTCACCCGCGGCGCTCTGCACATGTATGTGCGGTTCACCTCTCTCAGGTGTGTCTGTCTGTAAAGGAGCAAAGCTTTAAATGTCAGGATTACTTCACCCACAAAATGACCATCTGACCAGTGTTACCTTGCATTTCTGGAGAAAAAAGTAAATGTTTAATAAAGTACATTTGTAACAGAAAAACTATTCAAAAACATCCATTTACAAGCAACACTTCGCAGGCCTTCATCTAATGTGTTATAATAACTTGCATGAAAACATTTGCCCATTTGCAAGTCAAATCTTTTTTACATTCTACCCAAATGAGGAACTGCGTATCATTTACTTACCGTCTGTTACCTTGAGCATAAACAATCTTATGTTGTACAGGTGAGCAAGGGTCCAAAGCTTTTTCTGAATAAGGTTTTAGTGGAAGTGAATGCATGCAAGAAAACACCATTTATTTCTCTCTAAGAACTTCAGGTAAATGCGTGAATTGGCAAGTGCTGACAACTGGTGTTTATAAAGTACATATAAACGTACATATTTGTTCATCGTGGGTTCCTTTGTTTGTAAAGGCTTTTTTAGATGTGGGTTTGCCTCCATTTACTTTTCATCATCAAGACTTTTCTCGATAAACTTCACTCACAGTGGAGGTGTCTTAAAGGTGACACGGTTTGAGTAACTTTGAGGTTGAAATGCTCCTTTGATAGGGAAATGACCGCAGTAGTCCGGTGGTCATCTTGCCGCGGCTAACACCTGGCAGAGTGAGAGGTGTGAGGCGGACAGCTGTGGTCGGCCGTGCTTGAAATAAACAAGAGGCCCTGCAGAGATTAATGGTGTTGCTGTCTGAAGAGCGAGGGCCATGGCACCTCGTCCAGGAATGTGCCGTTTATAAATGGATAGGAATGGGCTGAGAGGAAGGGGCTGGCTGCGGCCCAGGTGTATCTCCATCCTGCTCACAGCACACATCTAATACCACTCCTCTGTCTGCATAGCTGCGACACCGCATTGATCCATCCCAATAAAATCTGACTTTTAATAGACACAAAGACATATCTGAGAGTCAGGAAAGAGTTAGACTGTAAACACAACTCAAGGGAAGATGGTTTATGTGACTCTCAAAGTCAACTTCATTGTCAATCTTTCAGGTTGTGTGTACAGACAGAGAGATCAAAACACCGTTTCCCACCATCCCAAACACAAAAACAAATATATATAAGAATATTTATATACCTATATATATATATATACACAATCAAAAGACACATTTATACATATGCACACATTAAGACCTAAATAAAAGCACAACAATCAATCAATAACTCTGCTGTTACGAGCATTTCTTTTGTTTTGGTCAACCAGATCATCACTTCCTGTTGTTTAAAAAAACACACTTTTTTACATTTTACCCAACAGTTATTGGAAGCAACTGATTATATAAACGTTAACAACCTTAATATACAAGTTTCATGTGACCTTGTCTAATTTGCAGTGACATTTTTCATTTTTGAACCAAACCCAGATTAAAACTAAAGTAATGAGCCTGTTTTGAACAACATGTAAGAAGTAGAAAGTACAGGTATTTGAGTTCAACATGTAAGAAGTAGAGAGTACAGGTATTTGAGTTCAACATGTAAGAAGTAGAAAGTACAGGTATTTGTGTTCAACATGTAAGAAGTAGAAAGTACAGGTATTTGAGTTCAACATGTGAGAAGTAGAAAGTACAGGTATTTGAGTTCAACATGTGAGAAGTAGAAAGTACAGGTATTTGTGTTCAACATGTAAGAAGTAGAAAGTACAGGTATTTGAGTTCAACATGTAAGAAGTAGAAAGTACAGGTATTTGAGTTCAACATGTAAAGAAGTAGAAAGTACAGGTATTTGAGTTCAACATGTAAGAAGTAGAAAGTACAGGTATTTGAGTTCAACATGTGAGAAGTAGAAAGTACAGGTATTTGTGTTCAACATGTAAGAAGTAGAAAGTACAGGTATTTGAGTTCAACATGTAAGAAGTAGAAAGTACAGGTATTTGGGTTCAACATGTAAGAAGTAGAGAGTACAGGTATTTGAGTTCAACATGTAAGAAGTAGAAAGTACAGGTATTTGAGTTCAACATGTAAGAAGTAGAAAGTACAGGTATTTGTGTTCAACATGTAAGAAGTAGAAAGTACAGGTATTTGGGTTCAACATGTTAGAAGTAGAAAGTACAGGTATTTGTGTTCAACATGTAAGAAGTAGAAAGTACAGGTATTTGAGTTCAACATGTAAGAAGTAGAAAGTACAGGTATTTCTGTTCAACATGTTAGAAGTAGAAAGTACAGGTATTTGAGTTCAACATGTAAGAAGTAGAAAGTACAGGTATTTGTGTTCAACATGTAAGAAGTAGAAAGTACAGGTATTTGAGTTCAACATGTAAGAAGTAGAAAGTTCAGGTATTTGTGTTCAACATGTAAGAAGTAGAAAGTACAGGTATTTGAGTTCAACATGTAAGAAGTAGAAAGTACAGGTATTTGTGTTCAACATGTAAGAAGTAGAAAGTACAGGTATTTGAGTTCAACATGTAAGAAGTAGAAAGTACAGGTATTTGTGTTCAACATGTAAGAAGTAGAAAGTACAGGTATTTGTGTTCAACATGTAAGAAGTAGAAAGTTAAAAGTCATCAGAAAAATAAGTAGTGGAGTAAAGTACTGATACCAGAAACATGTACTGTTTCTTTACGGATCGAATAACCTCAAGTTCCCCGGATAACTAACGATGCCATGTCTTTGTTTTGTCTCCAGTCGCAGTACACGAACCTGGGTCTCCTGAACAGCATGGATCAGAGCATCCAGAACGGAGGCTCCACCTCCACCAGCCCCTACAACAACGATCACTCCCAGAACAACGTGGCGGCACCCTCACCCTACTCCCAGCCCAGCTCCACCTTCGACGCCCTCTCCCCCTCCCCCGCCATCCCCTCCAACACAGACTACGCCGGGACACACACCTTCGACGTGTCCTTCCAGCAGTCCAGCACCGCAAAGTCTGCCACCTGGACGGTAAGAATCACATATCACAGCATTAAAGGTCACCTATTATGCAAAATCCACTTCTTCATGTCTCTTCTACATCAACATGTGTCCCCTCTTCTTCATGTCTCTTCTACATCAACATGTGTCCCCTCTTCTTCATGTCTCTTCTACATCAACATGTGTCCCCTCTTCTTCATGTCTCTTCTACATCAACATGTGTCCCCTCTTCCTCATGTCTCTTCTTCATCAACATGTGTCCCCTCTTCTTCATGTCTCTTCTTCATCAATCTTCTTCATCAACATGTGTTCCCTCTTCTTCATGTCTCTTCTACATCAACATGTGTCCCCTCTTCTTCATGTCTCTTCTACATCAACATGTGTCCCCTCTTCTTCATGTCTCTTCTACATCAACATGTGTCCCCTCTTCTTCATGTCTCTTCTACATCAACATGTGTCCCCTCTTCTTCATGTCTCTTCTACATCAACATGTGTCCCCCTCTTCTTCATGTCTCTTCTACATCAACATGTGTCCCCTCTTCTCCATGTCTTTTCTACATCAACATGTGTCCCCTCTTCTTCATGTCTCTTCTACATCAACATGTGTCCCCTCTTCTTCATGTCTCTTCTACATCAACATGTGTCCCCTCTTCTTCATGTCTCTTCTACATCAACATGTGTCCCCTCTTCTTCATGTCTCTTCTACATCAACATGTGTCCCCTCTTCTTCATGTCTCTTCTACATCAACATGTGTCCCCTCTTCTTCATGTCTCTTCTACATCAACATGTGTCCCCTCTTCTTCATGTCTCTTCTACATCAACATGTGTCCCCTCTTCTTCATGTCTCTTCTACATCATCATGTGTCCCCTCTTCTTCATGTCTCTTCTACATCAACATGTGTCCCCTCTTCTCCATGTCTTTTCTACATCAACATGTGTCCCCTCTTCTTCATGTCTCTTCTACATCAACATGTGTCCCCTCTCCTTCATGTCTCTTCTACATCAACATGTGTCCTCTCTTCTTCATGTCTCTTCTACATCAACATGTGTCCCCTCTTCTTCATGTCTCTTCTACATCAACATGTGTCCCCTCTTCTTCATGTCTCTTCTACATCAACATGTGTCCCCTCTGTGGAAAGAGACTCTGAAAGTTTCAGGAACAAAGATTCTCTCTCTTTTGATCCATTTCTATAAAAACCTGTCTGAAAATGAGCTGATCAGATTTTGGCCACTTTATGATGTCATCACGATGTTTTGTCTTGTGTAACCATTAGCCAATCAGCAACCAAGGTAACCCCCCCCCCCCCCCCTTATCACCTGAATCTCCTCCTAGAGCTCCATTGAGTTCTTTGTAACCAAATGTCTCTCAGAGGGGCGTGGGGAGGGGCTCCTTATTTTCATCTAAAGTAACAGACAGAGAATCAGCACTTTGGAAACAGGGCTGAAACAGAGGGGATTATGGGTAATGCTGCAATGATCTGTTTGGTGTTTCAGCCAATCAGAGACAGGTTCTGTATATATCTGAGACCTGTGATATATTGATGAAAAACAGTATAATAGGGGACCTTTAAGATGTAGTGTTGGAACATTTCATATTGCATATATAGCTTTTTTGTGTTAATTATTACACTGCCATTTTTTACTGCACCTAAAGTGGTATCCAGTACTAGATATAGAAAATAATGAACACTTGAACTGTTGAACTCATCAACATTGTGGTAAATACACTTGATAAGATCCATGACCATTCACACATCTGCTCATTAAATATGAAGCCAGTTAATTAAGTGTTCAGACATCCTGGCCTCTCTCCAAACAAATAAATAAGTCAATTAATTAAAATGTGTTATATCTTGTTTTTAATCAGTACAAAACCAAAGGTGTGAAAGTAGAAGATTTCTTAGCCTCGGGCAGTTTCCAGGCCAGCCCGGTTTAGACTTGTTTTTATACTTCTTGTAGCATTAAAGTGAATTTGATTTTCTCATGTAACCCCTCAGCCAGATTTCAAAAACACGATAATCAAAGAAAACGGTTTTAGAACGTCCCCCATAAGGCTCATTTAATGTCACACACCTGTAGGTCAATTTCACACAAAGCAAGGTAAGTTAAATTCACAATATACTGTAAGTATTACTCTTCTTCTGCTGAACACTTCTGTGAGTCTCAAACAAATAACTTTTTGGCACATGTCAGTTCTTCACATAGTTTTAAATGTGTAATATGCTAGTCATAATAAATATGAACCCACAGAGACACTTTTATGCTGCAGCTGTCCTCGGAGCAGCTCATCTTATGAGGCTGAACTCCTTATCTGATCAATCGGCGCTCCAGGCAGATTCAGGTTGCACACATTTGGCAGAAGAATGTCACCTGAGATGAATCGCCTCAAATCATGAGTAAAGAGAGGCATTTCTTCCTCAGGCTCACATCACACAGCACCTGATGAAACACTGATGAGGGGGGTCTCACTATAACCCTAAAGATCCTTTAAAAAGTTCAAAAAGACATTGAATTAATTTTGTTAAAGGTCACCTATCATGCTATTCGTAGGCAATAGCATAGCTCTCAGATATATTAAAAAACATGTCTATGAAGTGTTTTGCTCAAAATACCAAACAGATCATTCTAGCCACGCCTCATATCCCTCTATTTCACTTCCTGTTTCTAAAGTGCTGATTTGGGTATAAAGCTTTAAAGAGGAGGGGTCTGAGCTCATGCGGGACCCGGCAGCTACTGTCTAAACTAAATGCTGCCGTGATGAAACGCCATATCATGGATTATCAAGGATTCTCTCTGAAACAGTTTGGAGCTCAAAGGCTTTCTCTCTTGCCGGTTATACCACAAGGTGAGTTCCTTTTTTACTTCCTGCTTCTTCACACACATGCTCTCCAGTACAGGTTAGCTCTGAGTGTTAGCGATGCTAATGTAAACACCGACCATATTACGTCCAAAACAGTCGGGCATTGTTTCTGATAGCAACGTTTCTGATTGGGCCGTGGGTCCACATTTCAGATATTATGTCATATCGGACGCAAATCTGGATCATCTCCGTTGTTCCCCGTTTTTAGAGATTTGGGTACGGAGGAAAAGAGAGAGGGTTTTATTTTCTGACGCTGCGTGAGTTCCCTGACGCACCGGGGACACATGTTGATGTAGAAAATACATCAAAAAGTGCATTTTGCATGATAGGTCCCCTTTAACATAAGGCCTTTATTGGGATTAAAATAATTAAATCAATCACTAGAAAGTCTAGAAATGCTAAGACCTTGGAAATAGGAGTTCATGAGTCGTTTGCTTTGTTAAATCTCTAAGTAATGTGTAAGATCTACTTTTTAAACAACATTTTATTTAATTCCTTTCACATTAACATCATGCAGATCAAAATGACTGAACCAACAGCACTCATACTCATTTTCTGGCCAGAAAGCGTGGTGAAGTGAAAATGTAACAGAAATTGTCTTTAAACTAAGATTTTACGCCATTGCATTGATGAAAGGCAGTGAAAACGAGGTTCTGTGTATTTTACAAGTGTCTTGTCAAGAAGGAGAGAAAGTGATCATTTTGTGGGTGAAATAATCCTTTAAGTGCTCAGAGGAACATGGTTCTAATCCTGAAATATAAACTCTTACTTTAAATTCTTACATTTTCTGCCTTTTGCACGAAAAAAGTAGACGGAAATAATTACGCCTTCCTCCTCTTGGTCGATAAGTTGACTTAATTGTCTCCAATTGGTCATTTTTTAAACCTTTTTACATGCATAATGACTTATTTGCAGGAACACATCTCTGACAAACACAGCAAGTGATGCTTCTGCATGATTCTTTGCGGACACATTTCCTTTTGTCTATTTAATCCTACATATAATGAGGATGAATGTGAAAAACTCCTCCTCTATTGTCCTCGAACACACCCTAACGTAGCTGTTGTTGATCGTGTTGTTGTCGTGTGTAAACTGCAGTTGACTCCCAGCCTCCTCTCAGGCGTTAGATGACAAAGGTGGACAGTTGGTCCAGGTGTGGTGATGCAGCTCAGTGATGCTCCTAAAGCTGCACAACCCGCTCCTCCTGCTCTGTCATTACCGGACAGCTGTTGCATCACCTGTTGTTAATGTGTCTCCTCTGCAGACTCACATCTTTACTTTAGAGTATTAATGCACCCTAGCGGGCATCGGAGGTGGCGGAGGTGTCCCCGTCACACAGATTTGTCCCGCGTGTGGCTTTGGTTACAATCGCACCGCATTACAATCGAGTATTTGTGAATGGTATTCTCGAGATGCAGTGGCGTCATGTCGAAAACTGGCATTTAAAGGATAACACCGTAAAAATCACTGTATATGTTTGCAGTTATGATCAGGACTGATGTTAATTAAAGGATTTAACCAATTAAAAGTTGAACATATAAATGTATAATATTTTTAGAGCTGTTTAAAAGAAGGGACAAGTTTGATCTCTTAGAAAACAATTTGGGAGTTGAAAAAGAAAAATCTCACACTAAAAAAAAAATGCATTATCGACAAATCCAAGATGTTCAAACATAACAGGATATACAGGAAATAGTCAAATTATATATATTTTTCCGATTCAAATTAACGATAGTTTGATGTAAACAAAGTAGCAGTTTAAATTATGAATATTTGGTCGTTATATATATATATATATGGATGGATATATATATCCAGAATTAATGAAAGATCGATATCGAAACTCCTGTCAGATTTCTCCTGACTTTGTAAAATAAATAAGAGGTAAATGGTCATTTTAAATATTCATAATTAGTGAAAGATCGATATCGAAACTCCTGTCAGATTTCTCCTGACTTTGTAAAATAAATAAGAGGTAAATGGTCATTTTAAATATTCATAATTAGTGAAAGATCGATATCTAAACTCCTGTCAGATTTCTCCTGAGGGACATTTAGAACCTGCTGAGCTGAATGCTGTGATTTAATGCCTTCCAGTCTGAACTCGGGGAGTGCTGGCCCTCTTCCTCAAGGCCACGCCAGCCGACTGTGGGATCGTGACATTTACCAG